CATTTATGCCAATCTTTAAGTATATTTTGTAGATTTAAGTTTATCTCAGCCTATTTTTTTATTATGTTTTGATTTAGTTGGTAGGTTGGTTAAACCTACAGTTTAAGCCAGACTAATACTGCACATATATTATGAATGAAGTTACAGAAAGATATGCAATTTCTCACAGAAGGGATAGGTCATTTCTAAGTATAAGACAGTATACATGAAAAGTTTTTATATTCCAACAGTCCCATTTTTTCTCCTAGTTGAGGTCCAGGCTACCAGGGCGGTGATGCTGATCAGCGTCTTCCTCTCCACTGTGGCTCTTATGGTCTCCACAGTGGGGATGAAGTGCACTCGCTTCATGGACGGCAAGTCTGAGAGCAAATCCACAACAGCTATGATCGGAGGAATCATGTTCATGATTGCAGGTGTGTGCAGTGGCAACTGGATAATATCTCAATATAATATGCTAATCAAATTCTTATTTTATGTAACCTTTATATAACAACAAAAAGCCTCATTGAGATTTAAAATCTCTGTTTTCTCCTGGCCACAATAGGCAGCAATAATAACGAGTTACAGGCAACAACATAAGACACAGCAACCCACATTTAAACAGAAACACTTATAAAATTGTGAATAACTTTTCTAGTCTTTTAAAATATCTAATCCTTTAAAAAAAATACATAAACAAACAGTAAACACACTACCTAGTTTAGAGATAACCCTTTTTCAAATTTTACTTTTCTCACCCATTAGTTGTAAGATATTTTCTAAATATTTTCAAGTTTGCTAAACCTTGCAAACGACACAAGAAAAACATATTTAAAAGTGATGTTTTAAAAATAAAAACATAAATGAACCCTCTGTTTCACAATATGATGTGTTTTCTTTGTTCAGGTGTATTGACAATCATTATGACTTCCTGGTACGTCAAAAAGATTGTTGACAACTATCACGAAACGAAAACGCTTCAAAGGTACACACACACACACACACACACACACACACACACACACACACACACACACACACACACACACACACACACACACACACACAATCTCAAGTTTACTAACGTAGCTTTTGAGGATATTACTTTGACCCACATTCATTTCTTGGAAGCTTATTCCCCAATGAACTGGTCTTTAGTCTGAAATGTTTTGCGAAAGTAGCCTAAGTATGACACAAGACACACACACACACACACACACACACACACACACACACACACACACACACATTTGATTCTGTACATCTAAATGTGTGTACATTTGTTTTCCTCTGCAGCTTTGAGTTTGGTAATGCTGTGTTTGTCAGCTGGGCTGGCGGCCTCCTCACTGCGGCTGGTGGAGCTTTCCTGGGCTGTCAAAGATGCTCGCGGTCTCAGGCGACCAGCTCCATGAGCTCCAACAATCACCTCCTCCCCCCCATGGGCCCCAAGTCCAACTACGTCTAGTGAAGGAGAGGCCGCGATAGTCAGTCCTGCAGTGACATTACATTGGGTTTCTACTACAGGAATAGAAATACCGAATATCAAGGATCAGGGTTAAGCACAACAGCAAGCAGTTTGCACTGAAATTCAATATCATTTTATAGATTTAAGATTTTCTGTCACTTAGAAAGTCACTGCCTTATCCATGTATTTTCTTTTAATGTTTATTTTATTATTATTTTTAATGACTGTTTTTAAATGCCATTTTCTTAATGTCTTTCATTTTTGTAAAGCACTTTACAAACACTTGCCTTGTGTTGAAAGGTGCTATATAAATAAACTTGCCTTGCCTTAACTTTTTTATCTAGAAAATATTTGTGTGTGAGTACGACATTTTGAAGTTACTCTTAACAACTCCTAATGAAGAACAATGTATCAAACTTTAAATAAAGTAGAATAATTGTTTTGATGCCTGGTGGCAAATGACTGTAATTTTACATTGCTGTACAATCCATTCTACTTCAGTTCCACACTGGTGTTTATATTGTCTTGTTTGAGTATTTTGTTAACCCTTAGATGCATAAGTGGGTTAAAAATGAACCGGTGAGGTGGTTTTCTTGAAGTGTCTTTGTAATTAAATTTTTGTATCATTTCATATACCAGCTATTCCTCAAAAAACATGTTTTTGATATCATGCCATTCAAATTTTGAACAGCTGCGGGGCAGGTAAGAGAGGGTCAGATTTGCGGAGGTGGTAATATGAGGTTTTGACCGAGGGGGAGGACGTAGATGATGAAGAGTAGGGGGCCGAGTACTGATCCCTGGGGAACGCCTTGGGTGACTGAGGCTGTAGCATAGGAGTGGCTGTGGAGGGAGATGAAGGAAGAGTGTAGGGTCCAATCACTGGTGCATCCAAGGGTTAAATATATATTTAGTTTTTTGTTTTTGTCATTTATATTTGTTCTTATTTGTCAGTTTGGAAGATTGTTGTATGTACATTTTGAGAAAAAAATAAAACTGATTTCTTTACTAAGGGTAACCTTATGTTCTTTTATATTATATACATAGTATTCACTTAATCTTTATGTCAAACTCATGAAATCACTGCTGACTTTTGTGTCTGATGTAATGCAACTGTAACAACATCAACTGCATTTGCTAATTTCTCTTTGTTATACAGCATACACTTACCATATTATGATAATATTATACAACACAAATAAGAAAAAGGAAAAACTGATATTTATATTGTTTTGTTCTATCCCTTTTTATTCGTTGTGTTTACGATTTGACTTAAACACTGACACAAAAGCTTTTGATTCAGCCAATATATGTTGGCTTCACTTCACTGAACTCTGGTTCTTATCAGGAGAAGTGACGGATTTAGGCAAATGATGTGCTATATTTTTTCTTCCTTAAATTACTGAAATATTCTGACTCTTGTGGTGCAGTATTTGAGTGAATGTACTTGTTGACTTAATGTAAGATGTTAGGATGTTGATGTTTGTTGTTACTAAGTGGATCCTGTGCTGTCCTGAGGCCTGGCTCCAGTAATGAGAACTTTCCTGACAGCGAAACCGTTTCCTTCCTCTCGTATCTGTTGTTGTTTTACCCTCTAAATACTGTATTTAGGCATCTGGTATCACAGCTGCTGCCATGGTGAATTCAAAATAAAGAATTGTTTTGTCAGAGACTGAGAGTTACTGTTATGATATCTGCTTGACAAAATAACTTGATCCTTGATGAAATTAATTGCACAAGATGTTGATGTACAGGTACTGTAAGCCATCCTTGGTCAAATGGAAACAAAAGTCAATCTCTTTAGTTAAACATACATTTAACAAAATTAGCTGTGGATATAAACTCACGTAGGAACCTCTCATGGAGGCACAGTGCTGCCCATACTCTTCCTGAACTCTCAGACAGCAAGTAAAATACTAGAAAATGCAGGCTGCATGATGGATGTTTTACACTTTTAAAGTACCTGGTGAAATATGGTATTTGCCAACCGAGCATGCTAATTCAGATCAAGATATATTTACTCTACACCTCACATTTTTGTCTAGATTACACAGATAAAAAAACAAAACAAAATCACTTAATTAAAATAACCAGTTTATATCGGCAGCACAAACTAATTTAAAGAACGGCAGAACTAGCACCTAGTACCATGTACATGAATAGAAACTCAAATATCTGTGTGTGTTGGCATTCCTCACAGTAAGGAGCTTGTTGGCACCTCAGCAGATGTGAAGTATCTAAACCACACATTCACTTTCAGTCTATTTATAAAACATTTCACCACACAAGCTGGAATTTAGATCTCACAGATGGGTGTTGACTAAGTTGAAGTATCCAGGATGCCAGTAAAGAGTATTTTAATGCAGGTATGTTTAGCAGTAAATGATGTTGTATGAATGATGACTGTTGTGTCGTGAAATGTAGAAATGTTTACATTTTGTTATTAGATTGCATTTGAAAAAGCTTTTGCTTGACATTATAATCCAAACAATGACACTAACATAGTCTTTCTTAGAATAGTACAAATAATGTGCTTCCAGATGACATTTCACTAAACTAATAATGATAAGAAAACATAGTCTTTTAATTAATTGTTCATAATATTAGTTAAAGTTGAGTTAACTTTGGATTGTGTATGTTAGTTGATTTACTGAAGTGTTTTTACCTGCTTGGCTACATTCCTATTGCCCCAGAAGTAAATATTATTGGGTTAACAGTTAAATGTTTATTCAAGCTTCATGCATTTTGGGTTTTCCTGGATAAAAAGGTAAGAGTTTGGTTGATAAGCAGCCTGGTAGTAAAACTGCTCTTAACTGAATTATCCTGCAGAGGGAGACGTTTTCCTTTTAATGGAATTGTTTCTGGATGTCTTGACTCTCACATTATACCTCCTGAACATAAGAGACTTCCAGAAGACAAGACAGCAACTAGCCTTTGTGTATGTATATCTCACAATACATATTGTGTGTGAAATCACACACATTAAAACTAGCTTCTCAGCCTATTCATTTAATATTTCTTTGTATTATCCTTATTTTTATTTATTTTTTAAAACAGGGCCAGTCTGTAGTCCATGGGCTAATGTTACAAATTCATCCAGAAAATATTAAGAAGTTGCTGACTTTTTCACCTTGAGCCATTCTCGTGAAAAACAAATCAAAACAGCAACAAAAAGTTTAATTTCTCTAATAAAACAAGTTCAAAATAGTTAACTTTTAATTGGTTGTAGGCTATTGGGCTTCACTCAACCTCAGTATTTTTATTTTGGCGTTTGTTTAACAGAAAGTTTTAGTTTCAGGCATTTCAGTAGGTCCTTTATCAACCCTGAAGGAACCCAAACTATATCATTTCAATGTTTTCTCTGAAGCAACGACCATTGATTTAACTGCGCCATGTGAAACAACACTTAAAGTCGTTTTTTAATAAATACAAGGTGGAGAAATGATGTTAAGTAAAACTATAATTTCTAATTTCTCCCTGAAGGACCCTTGTGCTGTCCCTGCTTGCGGAAAGCTGGCATTGTGCTCCGGCCATTCATGTCTTGGAGGGGCGGAGTTAGCGGAGTCGGAGAGGGGTCATAACAAGATGTGTGTCCCCGACTGAAGCAACATTATTTCCACCCTGGTCCGGAGCCGTCCTGAGTCTTTCTGAGAGGAGCTTTTTAAATGGACTCTGAAACGAGTCCGAGCTGATCGCAGAAGTGACTGACAGAAGAACAGAAGCAGAGGATGGATAGGAACTTTTCCCCGGCTGCTATCTTCTCAGTAGTCCTGCTTACCGTGGCGTTGTCCCCCTCAACAGCTTTCCTGGAGCCTTACGACCTTTTATATGACAATGCGGTTCAGGCGTTTTACAACAACGACTACCCAAATGTGGTCCGTTACATGGAGGGAGCGCTCAGCAGCTACAGGGAAGTCCGCCAAACCAAGGTCCGGTGCCGGCTGAGGTGCCAGGACCAGCATCCCTTTGATGCCACCTTCTCGGAGCTGCGCTTCCCTGACGTGGTGCTCCGGAGAGCGGCGTGTATGAACACATGCATCGAGGAGATACTTGGCAGTCAATCTCTGCACAAAGTCAGCGAGGATGTAGTGCAGGACTTCCACAGGAGGATCCCCTACAACTATCTTCAACTGGCTTATAAGAAGGTAGGGGGAAGGGGATGATGAGTAACTTTGAGAAAACGTGCTCTGAATGAGCACTTCTGTTGTCAACCCAGGAGATTTCTTAATCTGTCTGCCCCACTATACCTGCTACAGTCTTCATCAGCTGTTACTGCTGCCCAGCAACCTGATGCAGAGAGATGATGCCAGCTGCACAGCACACATGTAGAAACCAGTGTAGCTCATGAGGATTCAAGGTGTTGTCACTTAACTATTTGGCTACACTTAAACTCATATTTGAGGGCCTATAAAAGTTTTACATTTGTCAAAAAAAACCCTGATCTCAATTGAGAACGATCTTAAACTAGCATCCCACTGCAGATGTATACAATAACCATGTTCAGGTAACATTAATGATATTTCAGAAAAAAAACATTTACTTGCTATTCGCAAGAACAATATTTTCTAACTAAGTTGTTAAATAAAAAATATTCAGCTTTTGTTAGGGATGTTTTGCTATTGCTTAATACGTGTATTCCCAAAATGAAGAGTGACCTACTATTTGAACAAGTTGAACCTGTAGACCCAACTGGGATTGGATTCTGTAAATAACATATAAAAGCCTATATAAAATACAAGTATATAAAAGAAAGATAATGTACCACATCTGATACTGATCTAAAGTGTGAGATACATCAATAGTGGCCTGCTGATAATGTCAGAACTTTGGACTGGAGAAACTTAAATACTGTACAAGCTAAGGCTCTACATCTTAGTTCTTTAAAAGTCAATATTATGTAAACGTGATGTTTTCAGCCCTTACTCCAATATGCAACAATGTGATGTAACATCCACTACAGGTGTCCATGTATCACGCTCATGTCAAAGGCTGCTATGTTGAATGTTGATATAAGATTTAGTTGCAGTGAGATGAAGGCCCAGCTGTCTGATCACAGCAGGCTGACTCTACAGATGTCTGTGCACTTGCTTCAGTCTTTTGTTTACATCCACACTTTGGTTTTTATGGCTACTCTGTGTGCTGTGTTATTTGTAATAACACACAACATTGTGTTACTCTGTAAGCAAATGTTTGAGGATTTCTCTGTTTTGGCGGTTCCGACTTTCTCTTCCAAGCTTCATTCAATCAACATTGACATCAACCTGCTAGATGACAGTGTATAACTTAAAAATGCAGTCAGGTAATAGATTCAGTTTTCTTTTGGTTATTGAAATGCACCTAAACTACCACTATTCCTCAATCCCAACACATTAGCACTACTTGTTATTGGCTTTACATTCAATATACAAACTTCCAGATCAGCATTTCCCATGAGCCATCTTTGGGCTGGGACGATGTTGAGCGCTAGGCGTGGGAACAATCCAAAAGACGGATACAACAGGAGAGCTGGGAACAAAGTGTAACTGCTGATTCAGACTCAGTGCTGTGTGCTAGATTTGTCCCAGAGGAGCAAGTGCATTTGTTGTGACTGTTGAACATTTTCCATCAGTTTTGTATTTGGAGTTGCACAAATGTATCTGTTTTATAGATATTTTTATTCCAAAGCTCAATATTTAGAATGAATTGGAAACCCTCAACTGTTATGGATGTAAATGTTTACACGTTTTACTGCATGTTTTTGATAGCCTGCTTTGTGTGGGAAAAAACCGTTAACAGGAACATTTGGAGTGTCTCCAAACCTCCCCTAGCTGAGTATTATTTTGGACTTCCGACTGATGAAAAGAGTGAGACTTGATACTTTACAAACGCTCCATTCCACATAGGCAGTGATACAATGAACTATTCCTGCAGGGAAATATATTTCTGCTTCCCCCGACTGCAGCTCAGGGTCAACTTCAGGACACTTGCGCTTAGGTAGCTTGAAGTGTGGCTATCATACAGTCGGGAGTCGGGACTACATGTTAGTGTGTACAAACAATAACTCATTGAACTTTTTACCTTAATGTGAGCAAGAGATTGACATTTTAACCCAGTTGGAGCTCCGTTGGGAAGCTGGCACGATCTCCTCACATGAACCTGAGACTCAGTCTACTTCCACTGTCGCTGACTGCAGACCAGCTCCAAATGCCAGGGTGATGACACACAGCTTACCCCGCTCCGAAGTGGTGGGAAGTCAATCTGCCCTGTGTCTGTCTGCTGGACAAATGGTTTCTCCATTTATTTATTTTTTCTTCTGAATCAGCAGAGAACAACTAAGAGCTGATGTGATCCTCTCATAAAAGTGCACGCTCCTGTCTAGACATGAGCGTAGTCACAGCCTCACTCACAGATCCCCAGCCAGCTGTAAAAATATCACTAATCTATTGTGGGAAGAATTATGATTTATTTAACATATGTTTAAAGAAAAAGTGGCACATATAGTTTTGAATCTTTTACAATAAAGCAGAAACTTAAGATCTTTTTGAGCATATCTTTATTTCAGCCTCCCCTGTGTCTAAGAGTGTGTTGACATCTTTATGAACTGAGTACATGGCAGCACATCAAGGCAGGGAGCTATGATGTTGATCTTACCACAGGTAAGGAGAGGCCGAGCTGAAGCGTTTCTATTGGCCAGGCCCATCAGAGCACATCAGACCTCTCAGTGTACGTATCCACATTAGTATTTAAACCGTGTGTGTGTGTGTGTGCACATGCACCCTCACGTGTTAGTATGGGGGTACTTGGTGGTGTTTGTGAAAATAAATAACATTCCTGCACATTCCAGCGTCACACACCCTCCTCCTGACAGCCTCTGGTACAATGCTGCCATTGGGCCTGAAAGAAGAGGCTCCACAGTCACCAACTGTTCTCCGCACTCAGGCTGCTGCGTATGTCCCCAGCTCGCCCATCATTTAGCCTGGCAAATATTTTATTTTCCTGTTGTGGTCTGTTTGCTTTTCTAAAAAAAGGGAGACACGCCACTTTCAGGTATTAAAGGGAGACTTCTGTAGCTGCCATTGGGCTGGACCTGCAGTGATCTCTGCCTCTGGCCCCAGCTCTCACTCCAGCTGCCCAACTGCAAAGCGATCAAAGGCTCTGAATCGCCCTCAGAGACAAGATGACATCAAATCTTCAGCCCTTTTATGCTTTATCTGCACGGCTGTTTCAAGAAGTTATTGTGAAAGAAGGGCCTCTTACTGCTGAACTGTGAATTTGTCAATGTTTATCTTGATCATGAATAATGAGTGAAAATCAGATTGAAGTCATTATACAAACATCCAGAAACTGTTCAGTTTTGGGTGGAAAACACCAACCACGTTTATTTTTACTAGATGGTATCTTGCGCATAAGCAGTAGCTAATTTGCATTTTTTCAACATTTCTTCTTCTCATTCTTTTTACGGGTAGCATTTCCTTTTGCAAGAGTGTGTATATATAGGGACATTAAATCTTTGTGAAAATATATATTCAAACTTGTATTACCTTCTGAGAATCTTTGAATTTCTCCTTGTGGATCCTCTAGAAATGCATAGGTATACACTTCTAAATCCTACAACAATGGTCAGTCATTACAAACTCCTGCAGTGCAGCCAAACATCTCCAAACCAAGATAACTTAATTGAAATTCCAACTGGAGATCCCAAAGTTCCCATAGATACCAAATCTTCTGAATGGCTTTTAATGTGTAGAAATTATTTACAAAGTGCATTTGTGCTCATATAACAGTAACTGATGTGTCTCATATAACCAAACCATGGGGTCTGTTTTACAGCTTGGTTTTGTGTATCTGTTGATTATAATGATTCCCTTTGTTACAGATAAATCAGGGGAGATTGAGACTGCAGTTTCTAGTAACCAAGGAGCTTGATGTTTCTCCATAATGAGCCTGTTGAGATGCTCATCCTGTGCGGCCAGTTTAAAACTGAGGACGGACAAGAAATGTGTGGCCACCAATGTACATGCAGCATTATTGATGATAAAAAGATTCAGCCTCCTCGTACCACCAGCAAAATGAAAGATGTCTTCTTGTTATTGCACTGACCTACAAGAGAAGTCTTAGGAATTTGGGACACATATCGTCTTTTTATTTTGAGAAGTTTCCATGTCTCACAGCACGATGTTAAAAGGTGACAGAGGGTCAGGAGAGTCTCTGAAGCCTGATGTTGTGAGCCTTCTCTGTAAATTCCTCTAAAGTCCGACTCTCACTCCTGCTTCCTCTGTGAATGTGATGATTTGATTACAACACAGCAGGTAGCTTATGGCTCAAGTACAGCTCCCCTTAGAAGGCACGTGGTGGGATGAAATTGGCTAGTTTGATTGTGAGTAGAAGCTCGGTATCTGTGAAGGGACTGTAATGATCGCAATCTTGTTGATACATTCTTGCTCTTGACTTTTCAGATTATTAGGAGAAACTGCCAAACACAGCAGCATGCAGGGGACATGTCTGTATCTAGGTTGAACTCCAGTGATGAATGTTGCACTAGATGGAAATCACAGATGATGTTATTGTCATCTGCAGCTCATAATAGACAGAGGGAGAGTGAGCTTTGTGTTTATAATGGATAAAGCAAGTAGTAACGCTGCCATTTGCTCAGAGGCATGTTGTGTGCGGCCAAGTCACATGTATGTCTTTGATGTACCGGCAGGGTTGATTTGCGGTTATCCTATTTGCAAAATGACTGGGGGCGGGACTTACTGCCGGAGCAAATGACGTAGATGTAGAAATCTTAGAAAAACACATGCTTAACTGAAGGAAATGAAGGCTGTGACTCAAAGGTCTATTTAGGGTTTGTGATACATAGAGTTTTAGCTGTAGCAAGTTTTATCATCTTCATGAGTGTAGTATCAAGCTAAGCAACAGCTCTCATTATTACTTGATTTATGGTTGTGCTTATTAACAAGATTTAGGTTTTACAATTTCTGCTTGTACTTGCTGGGCAGTAAATCATCAACACAAACATATTTAAGGTCAGATTATACAATTTTAAAGTCATTTAAATGTCAAAAAGAACAAATCGTATTTTTATTGGAAAGTTTATTGGTGACACACAGGATCCTGTTTTCCTAATAAATGCAAATAATCCCCTTCGCAATGACCACTTTCAGCA